GGATTGATCAAGTTCAAACTTCACACACACATGGTACATCATGTCACAAATAGATATGTGCATTTGTTTCATGATCTGCTTAACAATAGCGGAATGATGGCCATTTTAAGGCCGAAAATGCATCAAAATCACATATTTTCACAATTCCAGAACCGGATCTCAGTCATGCATGGATGGATTTTGTTCAGATTTAGCACAATGTGTTGTACATATGCAGGTGCATTTCGGTCATGATCTGCTTTGAATGTATATGTCACTCAAATATGAACGGAACGGGGACGTGTCATTGACAATGACTTGTTGTATTTTGTATTTTCTGAAGGAATGAAGAATTTCCTAATATTCGCCTGTCGTACTGATATTCGTGCTATATCCCTTGATGTGCCCTATTATGCTGATGTTGTACTGCCATTGGGTGAAATGCAAAATGCCATAGCAATCGATGTAGATGTTGTCAACCGTAAGTAACCACTGTTGATCATTTACTTTCAATATACTAGTATATATCAGTACTTCAGATTTAGACTATTTCATCAAATCTTACATATCATAGAATGCATGGAAAGCATACTAATTGCTTAAGGATTTTAAGCACTGAAAAAGAAGGATGGGAAAAACAAACTTGTTTGGCTGTTGCGCATGATAGAAGCATAGCTCTGTCAGGTGATCACATAGCTATGTCAGGTGATCACATAGCTATGTCAGGTGATCACATAGCTATGTCAGGTGATCCCACATTTTAGATATGTCAGGTGATCTCATAGCTCTGTCAGGTGATCACATAGATACAAACTTAATTTTGATTGTGGATTGTTCACCTGCTTTGTTTCAGAATATGTTTACTGGACTGACAGTGTGATAGATAAAATCAAACGGGCAACTATGGATGGACAGAATGTAGAAGAAATTATTGGAACAGGTCTGGAAACGACAGATGGTTTGGCGATAGACAATGTTGGCAGAAAGATGTACTGGACAGACACTGGTACCAATAGAATTGAAGTGTCTAATTTGAATGGTACACATAGAAAAGTTTTGATATGGGAGAATCTAGACAGCCCAAGGGCTATAGCACTCTTTTATGATGCTGGGTAAGTTAACCAATCAGCCAGTGCCTAGTACGAATGTAAAACTGCTTTGGCAATTCTATTCATTTTTGACTCCCGTGTGCGAAGCACAAAAAGGGAGTCTTTGCAGTTAGTGTGTCTGTATGTGTGTGTGTGTGTGTATGTGTGTCTGTCTGTTCCACTGATATCTCAAGAACCATACATCAGTTTTTGATGAAATCGGTGCATAGATGCTCTGGGCCAATGCGCAGATTTGATTAGGTTTTGGTAAAAATCCGTGTATATTAATTACCTAATTTGCATGATAATTAGCTGATTTTTAGCTGTTCCATGACTGCTCCACTGATATCTAAAGAAACACTCATTGGATTTTGATGAAACTTGGCACACAGATGCTCCAAACTAATGCGCAGATTTGATTAGTTTTGGGTAAAAATCTGTGCAATATTAATTACCTAATTTGCATAATGATTAATCAATTTTCGGCTTTTCCATTGATATCTCAAGTACTAATCATCACATTTCAATAAAACTTGGTACATAGATGTCATAAGACACTGCAAAAACCTGATAGTTTTTAGGGTAATATCAGTAGATATTAATTACCTAATGAGCATAATTAATTAATTTTCAGCTTTTGATATTTCAAGTAGTAATTGTCACATTTCAATGAAACTTGGTACATAGATGTCATAGGACACTGCACAGACCTGATAGTTTTTAGGGTAATATGAGTACATATTAATTACCTAATTTGCATAGTTAATTAATTTTCAGCTTTTAATATTTCAAGTAGTAATCATCACATTTCAATGACACTTGGTACATAGATGTCATAGGACACTGCACAGATCTGATAGTTTTTAAGGTAATATGAGTACATATTAATTACCTAATTTGCATAATTAATTAATTTTCAGCTTTTGATATTTCAAGTAGTAATCATCACATTTCAATGACACTTGGTACATAGATGTCATAGGACACTGCACAGACCTGATAGTTTTTTGGATAATATCAATATATATTAATTAGCTAATTTGCATAATTAATTAATTTTCAGCTTTTGATATTTCAAGTAGTAATCATCACATTTCAATGACACTTGGTACATAGATGTCATAAGACATTGCACAGACCTGATAATAATGTTCCACTGATATATAAAGAACCACAAATTGGATTTTAATGAAACTTTTAAAGAGAACTATGCATAAACCCAATTAGTTTTTGGTTAATATTTATGCTTATTAATCACCTAATTAACATAATTAATTAACACTGATATCTCAATTACTGATCATCACATTTGAATAAAATTTGGTACATAAATGCTCTAGAACAATAGACAGGTCTGATTAATTTTGGGTTAAAATTTGTTTATATTAATTCTCTAATTAGCATAATAAATCATAATTTTTTTGTTCTGTTCTGTTCATATTAGTTACCTGATTTACATAATTAGTTTTCAGCTTTTCCATCAATATCTCATGTACAAGTAATTTTGAATTAATTTTTAATGTGTCTTCAATACTCTCAGCACACAGTTCTTTCTAAGCTTTCTTTGATTAGTGGCTAATGTTCAGTTGCATACTTTGTAGTCATTTTTAGTTTTCTGTATGAGTTATAATCATGCACAGTAAGGCCATAATTTGAAAATTAATTAAAATCAGGCTAAATGTTTGCAGGTTGTTCGCATCTGAAATTATTAATGATCATCAAACACTACTATGCTGGACACGTTTTCACATGGAACCACATGATGCTTTTTACAGTGCCAACCAGATTAGAAAGAGTGAATCAATTTTTCCCAAAATAAATGCATTTGTACTGTACCTGTTGTACTTTCTATTGTATGTGAAATGTTTGTGCAACCCTAATAACTCACATTTTGAATTTAATAACAATTAAGGGCTTCAGACAGAGATAATGAACACAAACAAATTGATTGTTCTTAATATATTCACAATTATATTTATACATTATGGGTAGTATACATCTGTATGGCTCTGTGGTAAACACTTCTGCTTTATATGCTTCTTATCTTTTTCAGGTACATGTATTGGACTGACTGGGGCAGTGAACCAAAGATTGAACGGGCTCATATGGACGGGAATGAAAGATCTGTCATCATTTCTACCAATATAGGATGGCCAAATGGTTTAACAGTAGATAGGGCTTCATCTAGACTTGTTTGGGCTGATGCAAAAACTGAGGTACAGTATATTCGCCCATCTCTAATGTCTCAAGACAATTCTATGACCAATAAATAACAAGTGTGAGTTGTGTCATTTTTTTAGTCCCCGTTCGAACGAAGTCCGAAAACAGGGACTTATAATTCGGTCTCCGTTCATGCGTCCATCCGTCCGTGCGTCAGCAGGTCCAGAGTCATATTTCAGAATCCTGTGGACCGATTCCGTTCATTCTTTGCATGTGCCTAGTATTTTATCTGGGACATATGCACATGCAGTGGTTTAGCGATTCGATTCAAAATGGCCGACTGGCAGCCATCTTGTTTTTTGAAAATGTTGTATTTTGGACATGCTTTGTCAGTTTTCATTCAAGTTTGGTACATAGATTATACATGTTAGGATACATGTCTATGACGATTTATTTCACAATTGGATCAAAGATGGCCGACTGGCAGCCATCTTGTTTTTTGAAAATGTTGTATTTTGGACATGCTTTGTCAGTTTTCATTCAAATTTAGTACATCGATCATACATGTTATGATACATGTCCCCGACCATCTGTGAGTTCCTGAGTCCGTCCGTCCGTCCGTCCGTCCGTTCGTCCGTTCGTTCGTCCGTCAGTCCGTTCGTGTGTCAGTCTGTCAATAGTAATATTTCAGAATCCTGTGGACCGATTCCATTCATTCTTTGCATGTGCCTAGTACCTTATGTGGGACATATGCACATGCAGTGGTTTAGCGATTCGATTCAAAATGGCCGACTGGCAGCCATCTTGTTTTTTGAAAATGTTGTATTTTGGACATGCTTTGTCAGTTGTCATTCAAACTTGGTACATAGATTATACATGTTAGGTTTAATACATGTCCAGAACAATTTATTTCGCAATTGAATCAAAGATGGTCGACTGGCAGGCATCTTGTTTTGTTTTTTTATGCGGTATCTTGGAAGTGCTCTGTCAGTTTTCATTCAAATTTGGCACATACATGTACTTTATACATGTTAGGATGCATGTCCATAACAATTTGTTTCAAAATCTGGTCAAGGATGGCCGATTGACAGCAATCTGACTTTTTGGCCTTACTACTATATTTCCACAATTTATCTACCATTTTCATTCGTATTTGGCACATACATCATACATATCAGTGTGTTTCATAATCAGATCAAAGATGGCCAAATAACGGCTGTTTTTATTTTTGGCCATATTACTACTACACGGAACACGTGTTTTGATGTAAATAAACAATCTGTTGTATACGCCACTTGTTTTTTGTAATTTGATTCAATATGACTGCCCAATGTCCAATTCTTGTGTAAAAGCACTAAATCATAATTTTTTACAAATCCATGGCCTATTAATGGTTTCAATCTAATCTCAATGACTTCATCAGCATCAAATTGATATGTGAGATCACAAAATTTGGGACGGGGACTGTGTCATTAACAATGACTTGTTTATTTATAGTTATCCAGGTATCCGGTGCTAATTTTTATCTGTGGCGTGCCTGAGCTACATTTAGGTTCATTTCAAGTTACAACTACTTCAAACATGCTGCTTAACAATTCAAGCATGGCTGTCAGTAGGGGTGCATGGCTATCAGTAGGGGTGCATGGCTATCAGTAGGGGTGCATGGCTATCAGTAGGCGTGCATGGCTATCAGTAGGCGTGCATGGCTATCAGTAGGTGTGCATGGCTGTCTGTAGGCGTGCATGGCTGTCAGTAGGGGTGCATGGCTATCAGTAGGCGTGCATGGCTATCAGTAGGCGTGCATGGCTATCAGTAGGCGTGCATGGCTATCAGTAGGGGTGCATGGCTGTCAGTAGGGGTGCATGGCTGTCAGTAGGGGTGCATGGCTGTCAGTAGGGGTGCATGGCTGTCTGTAGGCGTGCATGGCTATCAGTAGGGGTGCATGGCTATCAGTAGGGGTGCATGGCTGTCAGTAGGCGTGCATGGCTGTCAGTAGGGGTGCATGGCTATTAGTAGGCGTGCATGGCTATCAGTAGGCGTGCATGGCTATCAGTAGGCGTGCATGGCTATCAGTAGGCGTGCATGGCTATCAGTAGGCGTGCATGGCTATCTGTAGGCGTGCATGGCTATCTGTAGGCATGCATGGCTATCAGTAGGGGTGCATGGCTGTCTGTAGGGGTGCATGGCTGTCAGTAGGGGTGCATGGCTATCAGTAGGCGTGCATGGCTGTCAGTAGGGGTGCATGGCTATCAGTAGGGGTGCATGGCTATCAGTAGGGGTGCATGGCTATCAGTAGGGGTGCATGGCTGTCAGTAGGGGTGCATGGCTGTCAGTAGGGGTGCATGGCTGTCTGTAGGCGTGCATGGCTGTCTGTAGGCGTGCATGGCTATCAGTAGGGGTGCATGGCTATCAGTAGGGGTGCATGGCTATCAGTAGGGGTGCATGGCTGTCAGTAGGGGTGCATGGCTGTCAGTAGGGGTGCATGGCTGTCTGTAGGCGTGCATGGCTGTCTGTAGGCGTGCATGGCTATCAGTAGGGGTGCATGGCTATCAGTAGGGGTGCATGGCTATCAGTAGGCGTGCATGGCTATCAGTAGGGGTGCATGGCTGTCAGTAGGCGTGCATGGCTATCAGTAGGGGTGCATGGCTGTCATTAGGGGTGCATGGCTGTCAGTAAGGGTGCATGGCTGTCAGTAGGGGTGCATGGCTGTCAGTAGGGGTGCATGGCTGTCA